GTAACTCCTCTACGACCCTGAGATCGAGAACACAGTTCGCCGCTTGAGGAAAGAAGCCAAGCAACGCCGCAACCAATCAGCATCACTCCCCACTTCCGGAGTRAAGTCGGCTGCAGAAATCGTTGAGCCATCCAACCATTCTGAAGAAGAAGTCATGGCCAACAACGAAGAAAGAACCCTTAGAGAGCTAGCTGCACCGGATCTTCACCAACAACCTCTCTGCATCGAATATGTAGATCTAGCGGTACCCTTTGAACTTAAATCAGGTCTTATACACTTACTCCCTACTTTTTGTGGACTTATAGGCGAAGACCCTCACAAGCACCTAAAAGAATTCCACGTAGTATGCTCAAGCATGAAGCCTCAAGGTGTTACCGAGGAACAGATCAAACTGCGTGCCTTTCCTTTCTCATTAGCTGATAAGGCTAAGGATTGGCTGTAATACCTACCCTCTGGTTCCATCACCACGTGGAATGATATGAAAAGGCAATTCCTTGAGAAGTTCTTCCCTGCTTCCCGAGCGGCTAACAACAGAAAGGAGATCTGTGGCATAAGACAATTAAGTGGGGAAACTCTCTACGAATACTGGGAGGGATTCAAGCAACTATGCGCCAGCTGTCCGCAACATCAAATTCCAGACCAACTCCTTATCCAATATTTTTATGAAGGGTTACTACCAATGGATAGGAGTATGATCGATGTAGCAAGCAGAGGAGTGTTGGTGAACAAAACTCCTACACAAACAAGAGAGTTGATCTCAAATATGGCAGCCACCTCTCAACAGTTTGGCTATAGGCTCAACCCTCCAACAACTCATGCTAACGAGGTAAACATCTCATCCCTAGAACAGAAAATTGCAAGCCTGACCTCTCTTATCTGTCAAATGGCCACAGGTAATACACAAATGGTGAAGGCTTGCGAGATTTGCTCAACTCCAGGACATCCAACTGACATGTGCCCTACGCTTCAAGATGAACCTTACGAACAAGCTAATGCTGTTGGAGGATTCTTGCAAAAGAGATACGACCCCTACTCGAACACCTACAATGCAGGATGGAGGGATCATCCCAACTTGAACTATGGAACCAAGCCCTTCGGCTTCCAACATCAGCATCAAACCAGGCCGCCGGCTCCACCATATTCAGCCTCTCCCAACTCAGGTATGTCTCTCGATGAAATTGTGAAAGCCCTTGCAACTAATACTCAACAATTTCAACAGGAGATGAGGACAAGTATCCGAAACCTGGAGAATCAGGTCAGCCAGCTAGCGATAGCTATGAGTCGAATGGAATCCCAATCATCAGGGAGGCTACCTTCCCAGACCATGACCAACCTGAAACAGAATGCTAGCGCTATCACATTGAGAAGTGGGAAGGAGCTGAATGAACCCAATCAAGAAGCATCCAAGGATACAACCAAAAAGGAGACACCATCTCCCTAAACGGATTCAAGCGGAA